ATTTCTTCCTTTTACATATGTATTAAGTACAACTGAGTTGTTTTAAACAAAAGGTGTCAGACTTGTTTCTTTTCTTTTACTTGGAAAATAGAAATTCAAGTGATAAGAAACATGCCCTCTTTTCCAAAATGTTTGTCTATGTACACAAAATAAAGAACACTAATATTTATGAAATCATTACCAATAAGGGATACATCAAAAAGTCAAGCTGATTTTTTACTTTTTAAAGATTGTGTTACAAACTTCCTTTCAAATTGAATTCAAGAAGTTCTGGTTTTAAAATGCCAATCAAGTTTCAATCTTGAATTATGCCAAGCCTTCAGCWGTTATATCTGTATCCCTTACAGATAATAAAACATAATATTGCATTATACATTTCAATTACATTGTATATGTTAACAACTGTCTTGCTATTTTATCACACAACTTATGATAACATAGATAAACTAGCCATGGACATCTTGTAGGTGATAATGACATTCATGGTAAAACTCAAAACATCTGTTACTGACTGAACCAAATAAACCTAGGGGGAGTACATAACCTTCCTGAACTACAATCTTGTACATATATGTTGACAATTTATCACGTGCACAACTTTGCTCAAACTACTCGTGGATAAAAAGTATCCCCATGCCTCCCTCCAATACAATTTTGTGTGGCTGTTTTTTCATACTCTGGCCATTCATGAACCCATGCCTACAACATTGCAGTGGGAGGGAGGGGAGGGTGGGGGAAAATAAGCATGACTTATAAGAGATACCACATTTCTGGGACCAAAGTGAAAAATTGTCCAAGTATTTATGTCCAAGATTGTAGCTTTATATATGTAACTATTTTGATCATTATTTGTGACTAGTAGAGTGATGTACACCCCCCTGGTGTRAAACAACAAGGATAACGAGGTCTAATATTATATAACACTTTCACTCTAAAAACAAATTTCTACTGGAGCTGGTCTAGGAGTCATGTTTTTCAATTAATATACTGTTCTTTAAATTTATTTCTTACATGAGAGAAACTCAAACCTGCATATGAATTTTAATATTTCCTGGGGCTATACACAACATTTTATCTGTAATGTTTAATATCTTTTAATAATCCTTTCAAAGGATGATCTGTACAAGAATAAATTCTTCCTTCTATAGAAAAATACACCTGCAAAACAAAAACATTTAGATATTATTAACAATGATTTAAACATGCAAAAAAAKTACACGCTTATTATTGGAATTTCATGCATGCAATTCAACAACATTCTATTACTATAACATCATTCTTAAATAATCATAAAATTAAATCTGGAACCACTWTTGAGTGATCACTCAAAGTTTCTGGGTTTCATTTTGATGACAAAATTCCATGACTTTYCAAGTGCTTTCTAAGCAAAAAACAATTTTTTCTATTATGATATATAAAAATATATATCTTGATCAACATTGGATGTGCAGCTTGTCCAAAATCAACCTAATGATGATATTATTATTTCTAAAAAGGCATCATTTTAGTAATCAAAAGAATATTATTCAGCTATGACTTACATTTTGGTAACGCCAAACTCTGTTAATCCCTGACTGGAGCGAAGGTAAAGCAGGATTGAGTTGTGACTATAGGTACAGGATTATCTGTATGTGCGTGAGAAATTGCTGGTCCAGCCAGAGGTGATCGAGGTGGYGTAAAACGTGACCGATGATATGGGCTAACAAAAGCCATTCTATGAGTAGCATCATTTACCATCATTGGYGAAACAGACTGATGATTGGCAACTGATGAAATAGTAGTCGACGATGTAGAATTTGTAGCATGTGATATGTTATGGTCAATGTTTAAGTAGTTTATGTCATCGAAATTAAGATGTGCCGTTTCACAAGGTCCCTCCAATGAGCTACTGTTTGATGGTCCATCATAGACTTTCTTGGATGGACTTACCCCTAAATCAGGACCATAATTTGGTGGCCCTGGAATAAGRAACACTTACGATTAACTTCTAACGAGAAATAACAATTAGTTTAATTAGTTAGTTATATAAAACATAAGCACAGTATTCTAAAAAGATTTTTAAAAGATTTAAAAATTTTGAGGGATGTTTATAAAACCATTATTTTTATTTTCAGATATGAACTCAMCTTTCCGTTTTAAATTAGTTGGTGATAACATACTTGGTCTTAGACATACAGGACTAAGACTTCGTCTACTATAAAAAAAAAAGAACAACGCTACCATTACTACATTTTTAGCATCAAAAACAACACTTTATTTCACTTAGACAGTAATTTCATAAGTCAGTCACAAATCACTTTCTGTTGGATGTTTTTTTGCTCACTTACGTTGGCATGGTAACAGTGGTCCGTGTTGGACTGGGTATAGGGCTRGGCGTCATACTTCTTCCATTTCGAGCTGATATTGTCTATGATGAATTAACGATRCATTTGTAATTAAAAGAATAATCAATAATAGTTGTTATCAAGGATTATTGAAAAGAGCTGTTTATTGTTTTGTATTTTGTCTAGATATTCAGAAGTCGATTAATTGATATTTGTAATTAAACATGTCATTATCAAAAATTATCAAAATGATAATGCCGCAATAAACAGGGTTTTTTTCATTAAAAGTGATTGGCCAAGTAAGAGGGTTTGACTTTGTCTCTTTTCAATTCATTAAACATAAAAAAGAAAAAGTAAGATTAGTATTTGATTTGACTTACAGCAGTCCTCCACCCCCCTCTTGTTGGCGATGGTGATGATGGAGCCGGCGAAGGAAACATTTCTGTCGTACACTCAAACGAATCCCGTCTCTCATGCATTGGACTATCGTGTTTATCATTATCCTAAAGTAAACAAAAATAGAAACGTAGGTCTTAAAGGAGRAGGGYGGAGAGGTTTGAAATGATGGGTGATGGAGCGGTTAAAACACCAGTCTGACATACATTCTATTTAAGTTCCTAATTTTTCCTCAATCTTTTTTTAAACATATAATTCATTATTATTAGAGCTCAAACAATACAAATTACATACAATATATATTGTATTTACATTTTAATAAAATATGGTTTTTGAAAATTTAATACCTGGTTCAGTCTATCTTACATTAAGGTTTTTATCATGAGTGTTGATTACCAACTTGATTTATAAAACTATAATAATAATCATAACATATGCTTCTGCTTCTATCTTTTGACTTCTCAGAGAAATTTAGACCCTAATCTGACAGTTATGTTAATATGTATTCTGATCAATAGAGCTAACTAGCAGTAAAGYAGTATTGAGATTTCTTATAAAGACAATTATAATAAAAAGATAAATTTATTATACATTGTTTTCAGTGTATTGCAAAAATATTTTAAATATTGAAAAAAAATTATCACAACCTTACATGATTTATTTATTTATATTGCAATAACAACATAATTATTAAAGGATGCAACTCAAAGTGAATCTAAAGTTCCTTATTATAGTCACTTACCAAATGCATACTTTCTCCCAAGTCATGGCTTAAGTGAAAGGTGGTATTTATTTCACTACAAGAAAAAACATTACATTTCTTATAGTAAACACAATTTTTTATACATATAAAAAATGAACTGTCACTAATAAATGAGAAATGAGAATAAATGAATGAAATGATATAACCTCTGAATACATAGAACTAAAAATTGGGTTATTTACTTTAGTAAACAATAAGCTTACATGTTCATAATATATGAGAATGGACAATAGATCTGGTCTTATAATTTTCTGTATATGTAAAAAAATATATTAAAAATAAAAAAACAAATATATAATTGAAGTAGCCATATACTAGTATGCTAGCGTGGCAAAAAAAAAAAAACAACTTAAATTATGTAATGCACTTCATGAAGGCACAGCACACAGCGAGAAAAGAACAGTTGTACATTTCAGAAAAGAATAAACAAAAACAAAGCCTAAAACAGGAGCGAGTTTATCTTTTAATTGCCGAAAAAGAAGACATTTATGGAATTATAAATGCCCTTTACATGCTAAAGCTTAAGCCGTGGTTATATGTGCTTAAGTTGGTCATGGAAGATAGCTTTTTCACTGCAACTAATTTTTTTTATCCAATGACAATATTATTTTACTCACGACACTCTACAACGAAGCAATGAAAAAGCAGTATGCTTACTTTTCTTTCTGCACTTCTCTTGCCATGTCATCGATGCTTTCGTCCTAAAAAGGTATAAAACAAGGGAGATCAATTGAGAATCAACGAAGTTCGTGGTGACAAGACTCGAGACCGTGTGATTGAGATCAACACATTTCGCTGCGTTTACATATACAATTTACTAAAAATCACACATCTACTTACTCTTCTTATTTGCGTAAGGCGAGAGGCTGGCGATACTGGCTGTAAAGAAAATACAAACATTACTATATATAGTGTCTGTCAGCTATTCGAAGTGTTTTATACAATACTGCAGTAGCACTTGTAAACTTACAATTGGGTTCTGATTTGTTAAAGTAACAGAAAATCGTCGTTGTCTGGGCAAGGATATAGAACGGAATGTCGGAGTATTGTGAGTGCAAACAGCCACACTTATATTTGGTGCAGAGTTCGACCTTCTAAGGCCATTAGAGGCCGGTAGATGCGAGTGGTCATCAGTTTCCATTTCGTTCGCCGCCATTACTCTCAAAGACAACATCTAGACTCGCAAGGGATTGCCGAGTGAATTTCCTGTCTCCCTTCCCTCCCCTAGTTAGTTTAGTATCATCTGCTCAACACAGGAAACCCAAATCCAATGTCAGATATATTTTTGGATTGMTTTTAAAATGAGAAGATTGTCGTAGGTAATGTTACCAGGAAACATATTATGTTTACATTGACTGTGAATTTCCAAGGAAGTTTTAATATTTCCCTTCAATTTCAAATAGGAGACCTCCTATATAATTTATTTTATTGAATTACATTATACCTTAACAAAGYAACTCTACTATACATTTCTTTTTAAAGTTTTTATGCATATTTTTCAAGTCTTAAGAACGTAAGATAGGATTATCGAAGAGATTCGATATCTCATTGTGAGCCTGCGATGCTTGAGCTGAGTGCACTGGACATGCGCAAAGAAAAAAAACGTGTTGCGAACGGCGAGTCATCTCTTCGATGTCAAACTAAACTACTCAAAAAATATGTTTACGAATATTTGACATTTACGTTATTGTCTTTATCTTGAAATCCCTKAAAATCATGGGATGGACTAAAGATGAAGTGGACAAATATGTCGCCAAAATCGAAAGAAATACAAAAGACCCAACCGAGGTAAAAATTGTCATTCATTATTACAGCTAGATAGAATCGCAGACGATTTTCCTGGAAGTGCGAATTTATTTCATTTCATCGTTTTTGCTGTTTATAGAAAAATCTCAAGGGTTTTGCATTTGCTCGACTATATAGAGAAGCCAAGGACAACAACAAAGCTAAAAGGTAAACCAATTAGAATGGAATACAACATAGGTAAAAAAAGAAGTTCAATTTGCGCGCCTTTTCGTAAATAGGAACACTTCCGTCTTTACTTTCTTGTTGCTAGTTTTCATGTTCATCTCCCTWATAGTTCGTAATGGTGTAGTTAATGGGTACTTTATAATTCTATCCTAGACATCTGGAAGCTTATTTGAGTGTGAATGAGACAGATTTCAGGTTTGTCATCTATTTTGGAACATGTCCATGCTTGCATATGATATGATTTATGTACATTTTTATTATGTAAATAGTACAATACTGGTCATGTGATTCAATCTCCTATAATGAAAAACAAAAATAATGATAAAGCCCCAGAAATAATTATGAGCTCTTCAGAATTTATGCACCTATCAATTGCTTTTGATTGATTGATTGTTTGTATCAATGGTTTGTATGATAAAATGTTAAAAAGTTCAATAAAAAATAGGTTTCCTATAGATTATAAGAAAAACAACTCTTTTTTTCAAGAATTTTTACTTAATTGCTGTATTCAGACTTCTTCATTTCAGTGGTGCAAACACTTCACAGTTATAGTGATATTSAAAATGTTCTCTTTGGGGCATTTAGGAATTGTGGGAAATCCTGCACCTTTGAAGTAATAAAGCTTTTCATTGTTTGAGTTTGTTTTGAWGGCAGCTGCTTCTGAATTGGATAGGGCCTGTTTGTGAAAAGAAATGATTGTTGTTTGCGATTTAATGTCTCATCCTTTTTTTAYCATCAGGGGTCATAGGMTGATGGGGCAATTGTTTGAGGAAACAGGAAATCTTGAAAAAGCACTGATATCTTACAGAAGGTAAGGAAATTGATTGCAYCAAAGGAGCTCTTTTAAAAGGCACAAAAATATCAATTAAAGCCATTGAATAGTTGTAAATGAAACATCACAAGTGTTTGCATATTCTAATGCTTACCTCCATTACCAGGTCATTAGACTTGAACAATACCCAGCATGATTTGGTCCTTAAAGGTAAGATTTTAATTTTTTTCATACACATGTAGTAAATGAACTAAAAAAGTGTATGTGACTAATAATTCACTCACATTTATTGTTCTTTATAGTTGTTGAGTTATACTGTCAAGTTCCTGTTGACCCAGGAAGAGCAAGAGTATGTTAAAAACATTTAGCAGTTTTATTGTAACACCATGTTACTCAGTTAATGATGATTTCAGTTTTGACACAATTCCAGTGGYAGACAGTAAATGTTCTACYGAAGAAACCTTAACTCTGGACATTAAAAGTTCATTTTTGATTGATAGTGAATTTTTTGATTCAATAGTAATTTTTAAAATTATTTGGTTTCCAGGCATGGGCAGACAGAGCTGCAAGACTTTATCCAGGACATGTAGCTGTTTTTAAACTCAGGGTGAGTTTCCTAGACTTTTTAACTTTTTAGAGTTGCAATACTGTAAGWATGATTATTGAATAGTTGGCACTAATTTATACTTTTTAGATGCATCTGTTGGAGTCAGCAGGAAGGATAGATTATGACCAAATGGAAGACTTGATCTCAGAGGAATTGGTAAGTACATKTTTCTTTTATATAATTCTTTCAATATTATTAAATATTCAATGGTTGATAAATGGCCAGTAATCAACTGCTTGTTATTGCTGATAATGTCATTTGAAAAATTAGGCTTACACGAATTCATTCAGTTCTATTTTAAAGAATAGGAATAGAAAAACCTAACTTTAGTAAGTTTAATTTCATTGATTTTCTAGGCCAAGAGACCAAGAGATGTTGAGCTTCACATCAGACTTGTTCGGGTCTATGCCTCAACAGGTCGTCTRATGGATGCATTCAATCACTGTGTGTCTGTCATCAAAACTAAGGCTTTTGCCGACAATCAAGAATGGGGACGATGTRCTRTAGATGTATTTGAGGTGAGATGRTGGGATTTTTRTTTTGACAATACTGTAATGACATGTAATGGTACAAAACAGTGAAGAAAAAACCTTTCACATCTACTATAAGAAAAGTACAGTATGTATTTCTTAAAGTGTTTACTAGGCATCTGAGGTTGAAATAAGTGGAATTCCTGTGTTTCAGCAACACAGGTATCCCAAACACCAATTTTAAGACTGACAGTAAAATATTTTGTAATGTTTTTGTTTCTAGAAATATATGGCTGGTCAAGATAAAATGAGTGAGTGCATTTATCTCTCTTTGTGTGTGTGTGTGTATAAGCCATAAATTATAATTCAGTACAAAATGCCAAATATAAAATCTTTTCTTGATGCCTTTCATTCTCTCTGTTTGGATTAGTTCTGCCAGACAGGGATATCGGACCWGGACATGTTCTTCTAGATCTGCATGCTCATCTGTTGGGTGCCCTGTGTCAGCTTTTRAATCTCTACCTGAAAACAGAGTCAATAAGAGAGTGTAAAAATGCATTTTACAGGTAATGGGTCATTTACAGGTCATTTCAGTGTAAAAGCATAGATTAAGTAGTTGTTTTCCAGCYATGTTTGGTAAATAATATCTGTATTTTCAATTCTGAATCTTTCATTGATCTACATTTTACTTAGCAATAAAATGTTATCAAAATCGTTAGGCTTGATTACTGTTTGAATGTTGCCAATGAGAGAAGGATTAGACAGCTACCAAGAGCAAATCATAGAACAGAATGGGACGTTGTACTCACAGAAATAAGAGGCCAACTTTACCATCATTGTGGAACACTTATTTTGAAGCTGGCAAAAGAGGTGAGATTTATATCATACTAGATTTATTATCAGGTATACTTTTTTCATGATATTAAAGGGATAAGATTGGCTTGATAGAATAGTAATAAGTAGACAACACAAAAGYTCAAAACTTCAAATATGAGCTCATAATAAGGTAGCTATCAACAGCAACAACAAAACTTTATTCACACACTTCAAATATGACAATAACTTTATAATTAATATAAATGATGTCCCCTTTACTCCTCATTGTTATGATCTCAATAACTTAAATGTTATCCWGCAGAACTATATAACATGGCCCAGAGCACTAAAACTTGCCAGTGTTTGTTATTTAACATCAACRCAAGTATCTGAACCTGAAATCAACACTCCCTGGGTTGCCATGGCACCTAARAACAAGGATGCACTGAGATGGTACCGTATGGCATGTCATAGACTCAGCCACTCGGGTAAGTTTGTCAGTTTTCACTCAYTTAGATTATCAGAAAACACCTGTAAATCTTCTCACTCATCCTGATCAGTTGCTAGACAGATTTATATCAATATCATTGCGTGGAGAAGACCAATTGTCTAAAAAGCATTATTTTTATAAAAATATTTTTTCTACAAGTGCATTTTTTTCCAAACAGGACACATTTTGGGTGGAGTGGCAAACAAGTATGGAGAAGACTGGTTAGATGAATGCATATCTGATTGGTGTACACAACAGGCTAGTGCTGGCAATCATTCTAAACAGAAAATCTTGATTTGCTTGTTTATTCTCAATACTTTACCTCCTTAGGGACATGACGAAATCATCAATACAATCTACAACAACCAGCAGGACCTGTCAAAGGTATATTATAGAATTACTGGCAGCACAGGAACCTTTTAAATTATTATTTATATCTATTTTTGTTATACATTTTCCAGTCATTTTTGGCCAAGGATGATGATTTCTTTCTTCTTGAATTGAATATCCCTTCTCCAGACCAGATGATCAAGTATGATGAAGGTATTTTCACCCATTCTCTCATTCAGTCATTTATTAGTTAAGTCTGAATTCATTCATTTGTTTTGTTTGYTCATTCATTCCTTTTTCAGTTTGTGTTAGTGATAATCCAAGAAATCTAGAACTTATTGTATGGATTGGGCTACATTGGCACCAATTTGARGGAAGAATAAGGCCAGGAGGTCAGTTGTTTGTTTTATGTATCCAGTATCCAGTTGCCTGTCCTATATCCTTGTGTTTTTGTCTGTTTCTTTGTGCTTAGCTCATTTTTTTGTTAATATATACAGCAATATTATGTTTCTGGTTTATAGTGGGATTTTATCATTTTATTCTAGTTGGAGTCATTGTCGGTCGGATCTTTGATGGACTTAGAATGGATGCACATAATATTGAGCAAACAGCTGCAGAGACATTGTGCTTGCGGGATCTAGAGGTACTATTGTAACTAATCTTTGAGTATCCTAATGTATTATTTACAAATACGAATTCTGTTTTTAGGCCTTTCTTTATGCTGTCATAAGAACATCYTCAGCAAAGCATTTGGAAGATCTAGAAGTATACCGGCCTGACTATCAACCACAGATTCTGCCTCAGCAATTGTGTGAGTCCCTTTCATCGCAAGCTCAAGAACAATGGTGGATTGCTGCATACAACCTTTATACAGGAGCTGCAAGGTATGTCTGCAAAGTCATAGCAGTTACTTTTCATTGAGGATTCTATTGCAGTAAGTACATGTAGTCAGAAACGGTTATTGATTTTTCTGTTGTTTTTTCTTTAATTGTGAGTCTAAATGGATTTATTATAACATATCAWTGAGATACCAGGTTTTCTCTAGTTGTGAAAAYGCTATATTTTGAACCATGAAAAGATATGATATCTTTCACATTTGAAGATATCATTGTTGACATGGTGACACTGCATTTTTTCCGTCAATTTATWTCAATATTTACATAAAGATCGATAGATCGATATGTATAATAAATAGAACATTACATGGCCGCTTGGAAATACTTATTTCATCTTCTCATGTTTAATTGATTTCTCACTCGTTTGCCACGCCYACTCGTKTGATATCGATTGAACACTCGAAGATAAAATTAGTATTTCCGCGCGCCAATGTAATATCCTCTATATATGCAATTTGTAATTTGCAGTGTTAGTCATACCGGCAGAGTAAGAGGTACAGTGCAACGTGGTTTGGAAGATATTCGAGCTTTAGGAAACCACGGATTGCATGTACGACTGTTGATCTTTCTGGCATTCAACTTTGGCGATAAGGTTAGTTTCATTAAAATATGTTCTCTATTAAATATTTCCATGCAAGATATTGATTGTTTGAGACAGAAGGTAGCCCAGAAAATCTCTTTGAAACACAAATGAATGTTTCTTAGACAGCATAATTATTATTGGAGATAAAATTCTGATATTTCTAACTCAGAAGTTTATTTGTTATTAGGCCTCCTACTTGAAGGGAACAGGTGCTAGTCCATGGCACTATGAAGAACATTGGAAGGTACATTTTATTTTAATGATAAATATTGATTAAACTTGTTATAGTGAAGYTCATCACTTACATCAATTGACGTGTTTTGTTTCTACAGAGTTTACAAGCCAGAGGTCTTCATTACTGGAAAGAAGTTCTTGTCTTATTGGAGAAAATTGAACGGTACATATTTCTATTTTGTTTATTTCTTTTTGTTGTATTGTTTTTTGTTGCAGTTGTTGTTTTTTATTTATTTGTTTGTATGTTCTTTTGTTCTCACTTTACACTTTTGTCACTTTATACTTTTGTCATTGTTTGGAAATTGTCGTGAAATAAATAATATATGAAAATTTTCACAGAAACGAAAATATTCCTGTAAGAGAGAATCCTCTGTTTGAACCTCTTCCAGATAACTTGAAGGTGAAGTTTTGTAATTATCCAATTTCCTCTTTTCCATACTTTTTGTTTTATTCTTTCACTGTTTCATCTTTCTCTTTGTCCCTTTTACCCTCATGTATGTCATCTATCATTWCCAGAGTAMTCTCAACTTCTCAGTTGTATTTCTMTAAATCATTYTTGTACTGAAAAACTCYYTGTATTTCAGAAAGTRGATATMAAGTTCAACATYCAGAAGGCTCGTCTTATTCTKGGTGAAGCAGCTATYAAGGAGGGAAGAATTGAGGATGCAATGGAGATGTTTGAACAAGTCAAGTCGACACAGGGAATGTGGAACCTAGCACAGGTGTGAATAAATCAATGGATGGATAACCATATGGTTACAAATAACTGAATTATGAGTTGATGGATGTAGTATAAATGATAATAGATGTATGAAATGGGCTGTTATCACACAGATGATTGTGTGTATTAATATATGGATGGATGACTGAATGAAGAATTAATGACTGTGGTTCAAATGTCGGACATTTACTAATGAACATTCATTCTTGTTGRATGTATTTCYAGATATACAAGTACCTGGCAAACGTTGAAGTCCAGGCCGCAGCAACAGATGACCTTGGATCAGAAGCTCATTCCACTTTACCTGCTCAAGAGTACTACAACTGTTTAAATAAAGCCAGAGGTTTATTACTGTTGTGCCTGGAAAAARTTGGTACTGAAGAGGTGGGTATACAGTATTATTGATTTGCCGATTGGCAGTATGTGTATGAAGACTTAATTTTGCCTCAAAAAAATAAAACTTCGTTAGTGAGTATTGTTTATACAACCTACGAAATACTGGCGATTAATTATGCGGGCTTTTGTTTCTTTTATTTAACAGAGACAAAGGCAAATTCTTCAAGATGAGTTAAATGATATTGAAGATAGGCTAAATGAAGATCCAAATAAGGCTCAGAAAGGATCAAGTAAGAAACATATTTTGATGATTATCTCTCTCTCTCTCTCTCTCTCTCTCTCTCTCTGTCTTTACACTTATCAATCATTTTGAAAGAGTCTCAGTTGTATTTTAGTTGGATTTTAAATGAGTGATTTTTTAATTAGTTGCCCTTTTACCATATAACATAAATTGGTTCATTTTGAAAGATGCACRCACACAAAGAAGAACAAATGAAAAGAAKTTATKTAACTAAACTTATKTACACTAAATGTTTTRTCAATAATTCCTGCTAGAAAAACAATTGGATTTTCGGCAATTGGATTTCCAAGCAAGTAGAAGCTCAACGACAGTGTCTGATGTCCAGGAATCAGAGGATAATTTTTGGCTTGACCAGGTATGTTAGAACTGCACGGTTTTCGTATTCAAATGCCACATTTTAATATTTCAYGTGTCCTCTATATATATCTTGTATTATATTTAATATATTTGATATTTGTTTTATCTCATTTCAGCCACAAGATGGAAGTTCAAAAGATCTCATTGCTAAATTGAGCGAGGTGACCCTGAACAATGGCTACTTGCAGGAACAGATGGCTATTCGAGACCAATATGTCCTTGATCTAACCAGCAAAGTTGAACATTTAGAGGTATTCTTATTGCTAATTCTATCTGGTATTTTCTCCGTTTGCTAGCTTTGYTAACATTAGGCTTATTCAGTATTAATGTTGCATCTTTTCTATGCATTTTAGTYTGAACTTCGAGAACTAAAGCGTCAGCAAATGTCAGGTTTCCTGAGTCCAGCAAATATCAATAGYTCTCGTGACACTACCACAGCAAGTCCTATTACTAAAGCAACAGCTGCTGCTGCTGCAAGCACATCTCTTACTCCAACTGGTATCCTTACAGAAAATAGCCGTGGATATCCTACTGAATCAACCCCAGTARCCAAACCATCGGTAARATCCCGCCTTGGCCCAAGAATTCCAACAGGYCAACCTCAATTACCTAAGATTGATTCAAACTTCTTTGCTGGCCTAAGTGAATCAAACAGTCCAGAAAGGCGGCTAGAACAAGAACACAGCAACAAGGAAGAGGAGGATGAGGATGAGGACGAGCAAGGTTCAGAGCAAGTTAGTCCACGACATTCGACCTCCTGTGATGATGGCATTCACTTTGAGCCTCTTATCTCTTTACCAAAAATTGTGGAAAAGTTGACCGGTGAAGAGAARGAAAAGATATTGTTTTCCAAACGTGCTAAGTTGTATCGGTTTGTCACAGATGATAAGTCCTGGAAAGAGAGAGGACGTGGAACAATGAAAATACTAAGTTCTGAAGATTCTACAAGGTTCAGAATCTTAATGAGGCGAGACCACACATTAAAAGTCTGTGCCAACCATKTAATCACGTCAGATATGGTGCTAAAKCCTGCCTTCGGGTCAGGAAGCAGTTTGGTTTGGACAACAATRGCAGACTATGCTGATGAAGTGCCCAARGTAGAGCAGCTTGCYGTTAGATTTAAACTACCCGAGGAARCTGCTGAATTTAAAGATGTTTTTCAAAACTGCAAAGGTGCACTGTCAGGTRTAGCTGAAAGTGACGAKAAAAAAGTCAAATCTAAGAGTAAGGGAACATCTCCCAGCTCTCAGGAAGGTGCKGTACARGCATCTAGTGAAGGCAACTCATTGTTTGATAAGTTTACACCCACAGCTGGAAGCTGGGATTGCAGCAGTTGTTTKGTAACTAACAGTCCTACTGCGGTATTCTGTATAGCTTGTAAAAGTCCAAAGGCCACGTCTTCAACACAAAAAGTTGAACCTGCATTCAAGTCTGAATCACCATTTATCTTTAGCACGAGGGGAAAAGATGTTGTTGTAAAGCCGAATACGAACTCAGCACAACCATTGTTTAGTGCACCATCAAATATTTCATTTGGTCCTCAAAGTGCAATGACCGAAAAACTTRCCTCTGAAGGTAGCATGGCAGAAAGTAAATCTAAAGGGAGTTTTTCATTTGAGTTTAAACCCCAACCAAGTTCAGAACAAGAATCCAATCAAGCCAAACCAAACAAATCGGTTTTTGCAACGCAACCTGCTGCACCATTTCCGTTCACATCCACATTTGGATCCCCACTTAAATTTAGCTTTGGACCAACTCAGGCACCTTCAACGACAAGTTCCGCAGTGGAGCCAACACCATCATCAACMGAAACACAGTATAAATTTCCTACTCTGTTTAGTGCAGTTAATGCACCAAAATCAACTGACAAGACATCTACTCCCAAAGGACTTTTGATCGGCAGTGCTACAGCGGATGTAAAGACACCAGAAGGAGGAGSTGAMGTCMARGATACRCCATTGACATTTRGTTCATCACCAAATGTTGGATTTGGTGTAAGTGATGATGARGATGAAGGAAAGACTTATGATGGACCTTCACCCGGGTCTAGTAAACAKRCCACACCTAAATCGACAAAAGAGCAAACGGTTTCTTCTCAAGATCCAACTCAACCTGCTATGGCAGCAACTGCAATTATGCCTCAGCTTTTTTGGCAGCAGCAGTTGGATGAAAAGTTTAAGTTTGGAAACCTACACAAAACACAGCCATTGGCTGGAATGGCACCTGCCGTTGCAACTGTCAGCAGTATTTTGTATCCGGCATCATTTATGCTAACTCAAATGACAGGAAAGCATTCCCCTCAAKCTCATTTGTCAACTATATCAACTCYGAGCACCTCACAAGTGACCTACTCTCAACAASCAGAAGTCTTGCAAGGGAAGCCAAAAGAGAGTTTCAATCCYTTTCAATCTCAGAAAGGTGCCACTTTTGTACCGAGTTTATTTCCATCTTGTGAAGCTGCTGGATCAGGGCAAACTGAAGATTACGATGACTATTCAGATGATGAGTATGACTCAGAAACAGAAGATACAGAGAGTTATGATTCCAACGAAGATTATGATAAAGAGGACCCAAACAAGTTTAAGAGCTTCCAACCACCACCACTAATTCGCCAAGTTACCCCAAAGCAAAGTAGTGATTTGCAAAAAAGCGAACGAAAAGTCTTGACAGCACGTAGCTCATTTAAGAAAAACCAGCCTACAGATGATGATTGTGTAATTATTTATCAAGTAGAGCCATCCAAGACTGATTATGATAAAGCAGCAAGGCTGCTRCTGCCAACAAATTTCTTTAACTTTTCTCACWTAGCGGCTTGTCAAGGTTGTTTGGGTTGTGATACAAAGCGTTCCAGTTTAACACCAAAGAAATTGGAGGAACCAGCAGCATCTCCAAGTCAATCCAGCGAAAGCTCTAAAAACACGGGAAGTTTGYCCATCTTTGGTGGATCAGGAAAGAATGTGYTATCTTTTTCCTCCTTTGCRACATCATCAAACTGGGCATCGAAAAARGCAGATTCTTCACAGCGTGCTTTCCCAATGGCAGGTCAGCAACTGTTCTCAACAAATGAAGATGAAGAAGTAGACCCATCAGAAGAAGTTGACATTCATTTCAAACCAATCATATCTCTTCCTGAACTCATCGAGAGAAAATCTGGAGAAGATGATCACACTTTGCTGTTTTCAGAAAGAGCAAARCTCTACAGGTTTGATGCACCATCTTCCATGTGGAAGGAAAGAGGAATTGGAGACATCAAGCTCCTTCTTGACAACAAAAGCGGACGTGGAAGAGTGGTCATGAGAAGAGATCAAGTTCATAAACTCTGTGCAAATCATTGGGTTACAAAAGATATGTTACTTATGAATAATTCGACGTCTGAACGCTCCTGGATGTGGCAAACGCTTTCCGATTTTTCAGAAGAGAAACCATCACAGGAGAAGCTTGCTGTTCGTTTTAAAAGTCCAGAGAGCGCCAAAAAGTTTAAGGAAGTCTTTGATGATCTAATTGCTAAGGCCAAGCTTTCTCCACCAACAACTGAGAACAAAAAGCCAATACAACCWCCACTTTTAAACAAAATAACTGGACCGTGGGATTGTGATGCTTGTTATTGTCCGAACACAGAAAAAGTTGTCAAATGTGTAGCTTGTGGCTCAGCAAAACCTACAGTGAAAAGCGACGATAAGTCTGGTTCAGACAACGTAACAAAAGTTGAATCCAAGCCAGTGTTCACCATAGGACGAGGTAGTGGTCCTGAAGATGATTTGGAAGAGGCAGATTACATGACCAGTCCTAGCAAAACGTCGCCTTCAAAATCATCACCTTCCAAGGCATCCGCGCCAAGTTTTAATCAAGGTCAGTCCTTATTTGGGTCAGGCCTGGGATCACTCAGTTCTGGAAAATTTAACTTTAGACTTGAGTTAAAGCCAGATGATGACAGCAATAAGAGTCCTGCTAAAAGTCCTGTAAAACATCAAGTCAAGTCTCCAAAGTCCCCACAATCACCAGGATCACCCAGCTCACACCCCGAAGCTGAGGATGATGGTATACACTTTGAACCACTCATTTTCCTTCCCAAATTGACCACTAAAACGACTGGTGAAGAAAACGAAGAGACCCAGTTTTGCCAAAGAGCAAAATTGTTCCGCTATGATTCTGAAGGTAATCAGTGGAAAGAACGTGGTCTAGGTGAAGTGAAAATTTTGAGCAATACCAAATCTGGAAAATCGCGAATTTTAATGAGGCGAGAGAATGTATTAAAGATATGTTTAAATCACCAAATTACCCCAGAAATGGAGCTTAAACCAAAAACAGAAAAATCATGGGTCTGGAATACTCTGGCAGACTTTGCCGATGAAGTTCCCAAACCAGAAACATTGGCTATTCGTTTTAAGAACTCTGAAATTGCATTGGAATTCAAAGAGGCTTTTGAAAAGGCTAAAGCTTCTCACACTGGGAATTCAGAAACCCAACCAAAAACAAACTCAAAACCCGAAGTTGAGGAGATGTTGTTAAAGGATCACACACTTTCTAAAAACCAAAGTACAACTGAAAACGCACAATCATTTTGGTAAGTTCACATATAGGCGRTTWTGATGCGGTTATTTTGTTTGCTTATAATTCTTTATTTTCTTTATTATAGCTCAGAACCAGATGGAAAAACACCAGCAAAAAAAGAATCTACATCGCCATCAACAGGTTTCCTGTTTGGGTCTTCACAGATCTCAGCACTRTCATTTTCATCTGTAGCAGCTAATCTTAAATCAAGCCCTGGTTTTACAGAGAAAAACAAAAGTTCAGATTTTSACGGAAAAGGGTCTGAGCTCTTCACCAGTTCTGAATCTCCAAGAAAAGATAGTGAAAGCGAAGACCATCAAGGCAATGACCCACATTTTGAACCARTTATTCCTTTACCAGAGAAAATTGAAGTTAAAACTGGAGAGGAGGACGARGAAGTTATGTTTTCACACCGGGCAAAGCTTTATCGGTTTGACAAAGATATCAAACAGTGGAAGGAGCGTGGTGTTGGTGACATCAAGATACTGTACCATAATAAGAATGGTCGTGCTCGTGTCCTGATGAGAAGAGATCAAATCCATAAAATTTGTGCAAATCATTACATAACAAAAGAAATGATTCTGGCACCCAATAATAACTCTAACAAATCATTTGTATGGAACACTTTAGCTGATTTTTCTGATGAAGAAGTGAAAGCAGAACAGTTAGCCGTGCGATTCAAGTTGGACGCCACTGCACAGGAATTCAAGAAAAAGTTTGAAGAATGCAAAGAAAAAGTAGTTTATAATCAAAGTCCTGAAAGCAAAACAAATGCCAAAACCAATGCATCAAGTCAAGAAAACAGGAAAAGTAGCACAGGTGATAAACCAGAATCTGTTCATGATGGCAATGCTGATTCTCTCTTGGATAAATTTAAGCCTAAACCTGGTATATGGGATTGTGAAGTTTGYTGTATCCCCAATAAACCCACATCATCTRYTTGTGYTGCATKCCAGTCACCAAACCCTGGGTCCACTCAAGAGCAATCGTCTGATGATGCCAAGAAGCAGTCCACATTTGGTGTCCCACTAAAGCCCCCACAAAGTACAGGGTTTAAATTCAACTTCGGAAGTATRTCGGGTTTARATGCAGAAKGTAAARCATCAAGTGCTCCTGATACAAAAGCACCTTCAAATTCTCAGCCAACAGGATTTTCTTTTGTCTCGTCAAGCAGTAACGAACCATTAAGCTTTGGAGGCTCAACCTTTGGTTCCTCTGAAAGTGATTTAAGTAAACCAACAGTTGGATTTGCATTTCCTAAACCAACTGGATTTTATTTTGGGRAATCTAAAGTCGTTGATCAAACTAAACCACCGGKTTTCTCTTTTGGTTCRTCCACAAATGCCAGTGAAAGTGAAACTTYGGCAACTGATCCACCACCAGTTAGCTTTGGAAGTAAAGAGGCACCTAAGCCAACTGGGTTTAATTTCACTACAGGAGTAAAGCCAGGCAGTTTTACTTTTAGTTCAGCAAATCAACATTCTGAAACACCAGAAAAGCAACTTAACCAAACCAAAGACAATRGAGARAGTGAGGCTACTGTAATTGCTGATGCGGWTCAGGAATCTCTGATGGAAAAATTTCRACCCAAACAAGGAGCATGGGAATGTGATGTTTGTTTGGTTCAAAACAAAGTTGGGAGTGTGGCTTGTGTAGCCTTCCAGAACCCAAAATCAGGCTCAGAAGCAAGTCAGGCCTCTTCAAGTAGACTGCCGACTGTTAATTTTGGAGGCTCGAATTCAACAGGCKTTTCATTCGACTCTTCAAAGACTAAAGGTCAAAGTCCATTCTCCTTTGAWTCTGGGTGTTTGTTTGGTAACAATCCACTTAATAACATGTCAAGCCAGCCAGAAAAAGCTGAYGAGAGCAATCAAACCAAAGACAATAGAGAGAGCGAGGSTACTSTAATTGCTGGTACGGAKCAGGAATCTCTGATGGAAAAATTTCAACCCAAASAAGGAGCATGGGAATGTGATGCTTGTTTGRTCCAAAACAAAGCTGGGAGTGTCGTTTGCATAGCCTGCCAGAACCSAAGACCAGGCWTAGAAACAAGTCAGGCCCCTTCAAGTAGTCTGCCGACTATTAGTTTTGGAGGTTCGAAGCCAACAGGTTTTTCATTTGACCCTTCAAAGAGTAAAGGKCAAAACCCATTCTCCTTTGGTTCTGCGTTTTTAGTAGGTGACAATCCACTTAATAACATGTCAAGCCAGCCAGAAAAAGGTGCTGAGAGCAACAAAGAATCRAAAGGCACCAAGGCAGAAGATGTAAAACCAACAGAAGTATCATTTGGCAAAGCTAGTGTTGATAATACAGATTTAGACTCCTTTAAACCACAGTTTGTATTTGGGAAATCCATTACAGAAACATTRCCTGAAAAAAATGTTAAAAAGTCACTTGATCTTTCTGAAGGAGCCAAGGGAGATGCTGACTCCACGGGCTCTCCAGAAATTGAAGCAATTTATTGCTCGGCATTTGACAATACATCAGAGCCAAGTAATAATGTCCCAAATGATTCRAAGCACATGCCAGACACAAACAAAATTGATCCAACTATTGTCACAGTTGTTGAACCTAGCAATGAAGAAAAAGAACGTGCTCAAAGTCTTCTTCTACCAGAGGGATTTTATCTGTATGAACGACAGCCTACCTCTAAACCAAAGGACGAGGAGGGGAAAGCGTTRAAATCAAAGCAAGATGTTCTACAAGCTAAATCAATTGGGAAAAAGAAACAAGACGTTGAAGTTCCTAAAACWGGGGTTTTTGGATCAGCATCATCTTCTTCATTTTCCTCATTTGCAGATGTATCACCTAGTCAAGGTTTCCATTTTGGTTCCAGYAAATCAAAGGGATTTACAGGCCAAGGTTCACAGCTGTTTAGTTCAAGCCAGGGCGGTGATGAGGATGAAAACCCAAGTGARGAACGTGACATTCAATTTGATCCTATCGTTAACCTTCCTAAAGTTGAAGTAAAAACAGGAGAAGAAAACGAAGAAATAGTCTTCAGTCATCGTGCCAAATTGTACCGATTTGACACATCCAGCTCAACATGGAAAGAGCGAGGAGTCGGTGACATAAAGATACTTAAGCTTAAAGATGCTGATAAATTCAGAGTGCTCATGAGGAGAGATCAAATTCGTAAACTTTGTGCAAACCACATCATTACAAAAGACATGAAGCTAGTACCTAATAATGCATCTGATCGGTCATGGGTGTGGAGCACAACGGCAGATTGGTCTGAAGAAGAACCATCTCCTGAACAGCTTGCTGTAAGGTTCAAATTGCGAGACACAGCAGATAATTTCAAGAAAGTTTTTGAAGAGTGCCAGCAATTAATGTCGGAMAAAACAGCAATAAAAGATTCTGAACAAACCACTATAAATGATGTTGATAAGTCATTTGACGACACAAGAGATAAAGAACTCCCATCTCGTGCTTGTAAAGAGATTTCTAAAGAGATTGGAAAACAACTGTCACAGGCAGGAGAGATCTTCAAAACTCCTTTTGCAAAAGCAGATCAACCAACATCAACTTCAGAAGGCCATTGGGAGTGCACGTCATGTTACRTAGTGAATAAACCAGCACAGACGAAATGTCTGTCATGTGGTGAAACAAATCACATCRATGTTGAAAGGTCAGCGAGTGTGATAGATAAACAGACACCAGATRCGACATCTAATGACCATGAGAACAATCCAGATTCCAGTGCTGAAGAAAAGTCAACATCTCCTGAAAAACCAAAACAAGGGTTCCTTTTCGGGACAGAATCATTATCATCGTTATCATTCAGTGCTGCTGCAAAAAAKAATCTTTTTGKTGACGTTTCCTCGACGGAGCCTTTTTCATTCAAGGGSTTGAACGAGACCAGGCCAAACCAAGAGAACAAYGCARACGATGAAGATGAAAAATATCACAATGTTTCTGGTGATCACATTCATTTTGATCCCATAATTCCACTGCCAGATACGGTCGAAGTGGTCACTGGAGAAGAAAATCATGAATTGTTGTTYAAAGAACGAGCAAAACTCTTCAGATTTGACAAGGATGCCAAGCAATGGAAAGAGAGGGGTGTTGGTGAACTAAAGATCTTGTCTAAGAACGGGCGTGCACGTATCGTCATGAGACGCGACCAGATCCACAAGTTGTGTGCAAATCATGCAATCACCTCTGAYATGGTCTTGACCCCCAATGGAAATTCTGACCGTTCGTGGGTCTGGCAGACACTCGCGGACTTTTCAGAACAAGAACAAAAGGCAGAGCAGTTGGCTGTTCGGTTTAAAACACCAGAKATAGCAAATACTTTCAAGAAAACATTTGAAAAATGCACAGCTGAAGAAATTCCGTCAAGTACTACAAAGGAAAATGATGAAAGTGCTGACAAGTCATTGGCTGAACCACAAGCAGAAAATATAGAAGACGCTGCTTCAATCAACTCTACGACAACTGAGAATTCAGAGATTGTCCTTGTGCCTAAKCCTGAAGATGCATCAGGTCTTCAACCTCATTCTCCTTTGGAAGCACAATCTATTTCAAGTGAACAAAGCAGGACTATGCAAAGAAGTGTCAGTTCTTCAAAAACTATCACAAAACAAGGGGCCAGCCAAGTTACGACTTCTACTATAAAAGTGGAGAAAACAGCTTCACAAACGTTTAAAGAAACAAAAGTTGAGGCACAAGGCACAAAAACAAAAGAAGAAGCAAAAACGTCTTTCGTTATCCAAGATGAATCAATTTCATCGTCGTCTGGAAATATTAAGCCCTTACAGCTTACTACAACTCAAGGATTAACAGGTTCYCCTCCTTCTATCTTTACCCAGCAACTTTTATCACAAAAGGGCCGTGGTGGGCTAGTTCCATTTGGTCAATCAGCCTTGCAACCTTCATTTACGGTTCCTCAGTTCACAGGATWTAGTGGCAACAAGAACTTCACCCAAGAAACAATATCTRCTCATCAAGCTGCAAGTAGTCACTCTGAGATAACAACTAAGGATCCCAATGGACAAATAGTGGAGGAGAGAACACTTGTACAAAAAGTCGAATCCAGGAAAGTAGAAACATCTCAGAGTGTATCATCTTCAACTGAAAAGTCTGATGTAAAATCTGACGAATCTCAGATTGCTTCCTGTTCTCCTGAACTAACAAAATTGCTTCAAGAATTTCAAGATTCAGGCAAAGAGTGAAAGAACTAATAAAACACAATTCCAAGACCGGAAGAAACAAAGAACTCAAGCCAGTGAAACCATTTCATGCACAACTCTCAWAAATTATCCACAGAAAAAAATAGCATTTTTAACTTCATCATTGAAAGGAAAGCGTTTCATAGCAGAGGTAAAGCCAATATGAGGCATRCAAACTGTTGTTAGGCAAAGATAAGTGAAAAAACGTTTCATATAGCTTTAGTGCATGCATTTCATGCGTTGTTTATGTTTCCTCTATTGTGTACGCAAGACAATATGTACCTTTTGAGTACTGTCRAATGCCTCATTCTGGCAGTAGCTTTGTATTGTATTAAGCAAATTATTAAAGCGTTGGTTATGCTGGTTAGTCGAGGACCTAATCTCATTATGCTTGGTAATCTAAAATGAAGTATTCATTATTATGAGATATCTGTCCATTKTCTCCTTTATATCATCTGCAGTGTAGTGAGAAGAAAATGTTTTTGTATAGAAAACAGAACACTTAGATATATCTTCACATAAAACTATAAATYAAGGCCAGGCACTATTATCTCGGAGTTATTTATTGAGAAAGAAGTAGAGCATAGATCTAACATAGTTGTTGGTGTTGATGTGATATGAATGTYTTTGGTTTTGTTTCCCCAAAATACTTCTCAGTAAGAAACATGTTTGCATAATTGTATGGCCATCAGTYAGTTAAGTTAACAAGACATTTCCAAGTCATTACTGGACAAGAAAAATAGCAARTCAAGCAGTTATATTTTTGCAATATTAAAATTGTATATTTTTTATATTAGTAAAGTATTTAATAGCTGTATTTTTCAAATTGGCATGTTTTCTAAAAAAAATATTAAAGCAAAATATTCAACTTGAACATTTTGCAATGAAAGGTTAGAATGGTTGCAAAAATATAGCTGCCTACTAGATACTTTAATAATTTTGAAATATTTTGTGTAATAAAATTGATAAGGGTAAAAATAGATCTATTGATTGCTGTTCTTGTTTTCATAAATAATAAAACAGTGGTTGAATACTAGCATCCTACATTTTGATGTTTTTACTTGTGTTCAACTCTGCAATAGACCCCTTGCAATTCATGGGAATGCAGCTCCAACTGGAGGACAAAACAATGGATTCTAGTTCCCAAGAGGTTAAAAATCTTTTGTTTTGTCCTCCAGATGAAGCTGCTTTGACGTCACATGCAAGGGGTCTATAGGCAATGTCATTTTGTACAACAAAACATGATGGGAGCTGCAAAAAATGTATGAGGACTTCCTCACATCCTGCTTTGTTACACAAAATGCTGTATCTGCACATTACCCATTCTGTCACCTTCCTACCTTTTCACTGTAAATAGACTCCCAATTTTAAAATGTTTGGTGTTTGTGACTTTAGAAGGAGGGGTCTCACTATAGATCCTAATGGTCTGACAACCCCTTTGGTATTTCAGACATTGAAAGGGGTATCGAATGGTAAAATCTGAGCCTGCAAGCCCCTTGTTTTAAAACCTGAGCACGGGCCTTTGGCTTAACATGTCCGATATTTTGGCAATTACGAGTTTCCAAGCCAAAAGAGATTTTAAATCCGAGCCCCATTCTTTTAATCGCCAAGCTTGCGAGCCTCGAGACATTTTTGGCCAGCCTCACAATTTCTGAGACACCATTCTACATCCCTATTGAACAGAATAAGGAACTAGAAAACCCATAATATCTATCACATTGTCCATTACTAGGTACATTACCCTTCAAGTACTATATGAAAACATTCATCAAAATAGAGGCACCAGAAAAGAAAACATTTGCAAAGAAAGAACAATTTTATTGAAAAATTCACAATGGTCTACAAAGATGTTTCTCGAGTACGATTTCAATATAAATGCATTAAATTATAATACAGAACTTTCTCATACACAYAGTAAAATCATTATAAAAATACATTGGCTTTCTGGCAGTACACTTTGGGGTATTGAAGATTAAATTAATAGTGACCAGTACTCCATATTTTACAAGGGGGAGCTGTAACAGAAAATATTTYATTCATCTCACAAAGGTTATCCTTGTCTTGCTCTGGTTGATCTGCCATACGTTGAGGTCTTCATATTCACTGAGACAACTGTTAAACTGATCAGGAGTGAAGCCTTTTGAAAGGCACCTTTGTTTAGCTTCTTGCATTCTAGGAATACAATCATACATTAGTCCACTAGTGTTAGAACAGTGAACCAGCAACTTATACTTACTTGACACTGTTGGCATCCCCAGCTATTTCTTTTATTATTCCATAAATKGCATCAACAGGATTTACAACTCTAAAAGAAAGAATTTGTACATGYATAAGAATCAAAACTGGAAAACAAGCTTTTTACATTGTTTGTACTAACCTTCTAGTTCCTTCCTCATCATTCAGTGATGCCTTTGACATTTCTATAAGCCTCATGGCTTCATTGACATCTTCTCTTTCAACAATATCAGCCAGACGTAATCTTGCCTGTAACAAAAACAATTGTCCCAAAAAGAAATATCAATTTAAATCCATCATCCACAGGACTTCTTCAGAAAAAAATACTTTGACATAACGTCTTCCTATAAGCCTCCTCTCTTCAGCAGTTAGGGCTGGGAATATGCTATTCGGTTACATAGTGCTTACCAAGGCTGTTGAAAGTCGTAGTACAGCAAGCAGAGTTCTTGCAGAGGTAAATGTTGTATCATGACTGGTTCTGGCATCTTTTCTCATCTCCACATATGCACTGACAATGTAGTCAGTTAAACTTTCTGGTATTACAGGCATCTTTTCTTTACAAGCAGCTACATATCGCCTAGAATTATTGATAAAGGGTGATCCATGAAGGTAAGTCAACTTTGGAAGCACATGAAAGTACAATACTTCATGATATTTGATAATGATTTCTATCATTATTCATACCTCATTAAGTTCATATCGAGGGGTTCAAACTCTGTTGGTGGATGGCAAGAGTTTTGATGRACATATGTTATGTGCTGAGCAAGTCTGTTGAATTGAATTGAATTGCAAAAGCGTAAGATAAGTATCATTCATGTATTGCTACTGAAACAAAAACCTTTTCACCAAGGTTACTCTGAAAAGTCAATTGGACTAAAAAAATCTAGATCAGAAAAAAAACACTAAAAGCACTAACCGTAAGTCATTGTCCTTGTCAGGTTTATCTTGTATAAGCCATAGGACATCAAATCTAGACAGAAGAGCTGCTGGTAGTTGAATATTTTGTTCAGCAGATTTTTTTGGGTTATAACGACCATATGCTGGATTTGCAGCAGCAAGAATTGAGACACGAGCATTMAGTGTAGTCATGATGCCAGCCTGAGGAAGAAATGTTACTTTTACTACAGAAACAAGATGCATTTTAAACAGAGTTATTTCAAATCACATTTTTGATTCAATGCTTCATCCAAAGAAACCTACCTTGGCTATAGAAACTGTCTGTTGTTCCATAACTTCATGAATTGCTGTCCTRTCAGCATCCATCATTTTGTCAAACTCATCAATGCAGCAAATCCCCTTATCAGCAAGAACAAGAGCACCACCCTCTGGACAGTAACAGAAGTATTTTATGAATAATTGAACTTAACTGTAAGTGTTAACAGTGACCACTATCAAAATATCAAAATTCATTACCAATATTAACTACACAATATYATTATCAATCCAGGTAGTTATAATTCATTTTATGAAAATCTCACTATCATAAGCAACWAAAATAATATAATAAAAATAACATAAAACTAACAAAACAACTAACATAACACATTAACAACTAACATAACACAGTAACACTGCCAATAAACCATCATCATTTCTAACAAGTTCTGCTATTTCAGTCAATATCCATACCAAGAATCATTTCTCCAGTCAGAGGATCCTTCATGACTGCTGCAGTTAAACCAACACCAGARCTACCACGTCCTGTGGTATACTGACCTARATACAAAAGYTAAAGTTTAGAYRATGGATTAACCARCYACATCAGWATTTCAAACAGTCATGTTACTTACTTCTGGGTGCAAGTCGGTCTATATATGACAGCATTTGACTTTTAGCAACGCCAGGATCTCCCATTAAAAGAATATTAATACTTCCTGCAAATGATYAAAATATAGTTTCAAAGTCATTTAGCAWTAAGTCAAGAGAAATACCACAGGATTATAATTATTACTTTTAATATTTGGTAATATAAAAAMTTATGATTGTAAAACTACGACATCTGGATAGTCCAACCATATACTGTAGATGGTAAACAGCCACCATTAATTGCACAYCACKGATTACCTCTAATTTTCATTCCATGTGGAGTGCAGTCTACTCCTCCAACCAGAAGTAATAACAATGCTTTCTTGATGTCTTCATGACCATAAATCTCAGGTGCTAATGATGATGCAAGCTTGTTGTAGAAGTCAGGCACTGTAGAGCATTAAATTAAAACTTATTGTTAATTTGGTCTAACTTTATGTTGAATGTTCTTAACAGATGACTGAAAAATTCTTCCAAAATACTATTGGAGTGCACATGAAACAAAATWAGGTATTTTCTCTGATTTGAAATAATCAAGCATCAGRACATTGCCTCAAAATGCTTTGTTTTCATGCACTTTCTAGGRACATTTTTTAGAGCTTATTGATGTTGAAAAACATCTATTTACACTATTTTATTTGTGTTTGCATTATATTTTTTACTATTATTAGTTTATAGTACATGTGTTGAAACACTTCATACCTTCTGACAGAGATTTAATTTCTTCATCAGAAAGTTCCTCTGTGCCAAGTTCATCATCTTCAGTCTTGTTCATCAAAACTATTCTCTGTAAGAAATGATATAAAGCATACKAAGTTTTAAAGAAGTAGAAATGTTAGTACATGCAGTACACAAAATWATGTCCTCAAGGTAAAAATATAGAATTATAGTTTAAGCATTGCATACTAAATSAACTTCATTCAACAAGATTTTTACTTACGTGAGCTTCAAGGAAGGTGTCTGATAATAGGCCTTGTGTCATTTGTCTGAATCCAGTCATCAACATTGGTAGAAATATGCCAGTCACACACACATGGTCCCCAGGCACAGCTTTTCTTGTATTTTCTCCTTTTGCTATAATTGTCATGGTTCTTGGGATATGACCAACTGGCACTTGGTCACTGTGTTCCTGGACTTTGAGTTCTTGAAACTTRACAAACTTAGAGCCTCTTGTTTGAAGGTAAAGACGACCACCAGCCCTATGAAATAAAGAGGAAAKTGAATTACAATAATAACAATAGTAACTCTAAATCCTTCAAATAATATTTGTTGCATAATTTGACCTACTTGTTAACTTTGCATTCTTCACTCGGGCACATCAACATAGGCATGAATGTCTGGGATGTGATCTACACATAATATAAAATTACACTTTTAGCAACAATTCTGCACTGTCTTCCWCTTAAATTCTCAAAAACTGCCWCTTCTTAWCCCATGATTGCTGCAAAAACAACTGAATACATCATTCTGAAGGAAGGAAAATCTTGTTTTTCATGGAATTCAAGATGGCCAATCTTTATTGAACAATTCAAGGATACATGCATTCTGTTAAATCGACCACAAATATATGAATTTTGTTGCATTTTGTTATTAAATATACACTGTTTGACATCAAGATTGACTCACTGATCATGAAATTCAATTTTAACTACATGTACACATGCTTGTAACTACATGTACACATGCTTGTTAGTTTGCTATACGATGCACAGATTCACAAGCCACTTACAGGTTGATATGATTCAGCACCACACTGGTCACAAGTGTACGTTGCAACTTCCACAACAGGTTTGACTTCTGTACAACGAGTGACTATTCCTCTAACAACAGTCAGTTTACCTATGGAATCAGCCTTAATTCTTCGCACTGATTCAGGTTTTTGTAAACTCAAATGCTTAAAGTACACTTCACTAAAATAAAAAAAATAAAAAAATTCTCATGAAATCACTTTCAAAAACAAGTGTTTGTGGTTATTTTTCAACCTTAAATGAGAAAGACTTTTGTTGTTATGTGTAGGATATCAAAAGTAGGATATCAAAAGTAGTGAGTWTACAGACAAAAAATTATCTAAACTCACAATCTTCTGAGAAGTTCTGCTGGATATTTGCTTCTGATGTCAACTGGGTTTTGCTGGTTTTGTCTGTTTCTCTGTTCTAAGAGTAATCTATGCTCGATGTAAATATCAAGAGCATCCTTCACTTGGTTCTAAAAAACATAAATTGCTRTTAGTTTATTATTGGCAGAGAGTGGGCGAAGAGGTGTGCATACCCCTCCCTGACACCCTGTTCCCTTTAAAATCTCCCTGACTAACATCTAATTACTTATCAACAAATTTAACAACAATTCTATTATGTGAAACCTCACAACGGATCTAGTAATTTGTTAAGTTGTGTTTTTTTACATCATGTTCTTTGTAGTCAGGCAGCATTTCATAAACAGCATCTTCAAATATTTTCTTGTATCTACGGGCATTCTCCTTCACTTTATCTGCAAGATCTTGATCAATCTACAACATTCAAACATTTTAACTAGATATTCAGAATGAACTATGAAATAAAGAAATAACCAATGATGGAAGAGTGTAAACAACTACATTGAACTTGCATGGAAGTCTTATAAACTATATATTCTATACAGTATCATTGGAATCTCATGTATTTGAAGTGAAAAATCTTAATGTTAAATCTTAATCTTAAAAGTCCTCTATATTTCAAGAAGGCCTCAAATACACCGAAACAAGCCAACATACACAAACTTTTCACAACACTAGTAAGTTAAACTAAAACAATACCTCAGCAATGTCATCTAGTTCAATCTGAAGCTCAACTTGTTCACGATGAGCAATTTTAACCTGTCGACAAAAACCGTTGACCAAATTGAAATCAAACAACAAAGGAGTTTGTAATCACGCCACATTAGCAATGAACTGAATACACAGAAAGCTGTAATTTCAAAACTTTGATCACATTGTACTTAGTAAATTAACTTACTAATTGTTCTCCATATTTGAAGACTTTTCCTTCATCTCCATCAATGTAAAACTCGGCAAGAAAACGTTTGGCTTTGCCTACAGCGAAGGACGCATACAAAATGAGCGAAGAGATTGAATAACAACGTCAAAATTTTCTTGAATTTGATAAAAGCACGAACTAAACTCTTTAAAATGCAAGGATAGCTTCTTACTTTTCTCGTCGTCGTAATCTGTCATGGTTATAATGTCAAATGTAGTCTTAAAATGAAGTTAAGTTCCCTGTGTCACGAACAACTCTTCATCAAACGAAGTTTTCTGCAATGCATGAAATGAGCATGTGACAAATTTGGCGCGAAAACAACTCGCTTTGCACTGCTCTCTGGGTAGGCAAGCAACACAGGTACCCCAACAAAGAGTTTTATCTCTTTTTGTGCCTTGCAACTTTATYAGTCACCGCAATATAAGAAGCAAAGTCTCATGATATGAAAAATAGCTCCCCTTCAGCTTTCGTCGCTTTCGAATGATATCTTTACTTCTGTACAGGCTTCTGTAGTTGGTCTACCTGTTCTAGCAGCATTCTGGGTACAACCATACGAAAGGAACGCCTGTCAGAAATTCGTTTTGGAGTAGGGAAAATCAAGATGTTTCTCTTGAAGTTACAAATATGTCTTTCATTTTTGAGAAAATAGCTCATAATAGACCTAGAATTATCAGTATTGATATCTTATTAACACATATTTTAGTCTTTAAATCAAACTTGTGACATTAGAATAGTGGTTTGGTTGTTTATAGTTACAAAATATTATGGCGTTAAACAAATTTGACATCGGCAAGGACATCATATGGTTGGAAATGGATAATTTACAATCAAGAACTATAATGGAACCGAAATTTCCCGAGGGYTACAGCTTGTATACGTGGCAGGTACGTTTTGTGCTCCAGTTACAACAAACAAACCAAATATATATTATCATTAACAACCATTAACTATAATTGAGTTTATGTACTGTCTTTGTTGTTCCAGGATGGTTGTGAAGATGTGTGGTTTAATATTGGTAAGAAATTATGATAATTTCCCTAGATCTCAAACTGATTGAAATCATATATTATTAGATTTAATGATTTCTATTGATTTCATGATTGGGAATGAGGCAGAGTATCCTTATGTCCATTTAAGTACAATGCATTAAAAGTTGAAGATGAGGACCCACTCCCTTTTTTTAGGGGGGTTCCTCTTCAGGAAGGAAGTAATGATATACAATGTAGGGTGTCCCTTTTTTATGTCTTCCAAGAACAAAAAAAAGCAAAATTATTATCATTACAACTTTGGGCACATTAGACTCTGACTGTCATGCAAATGCATCCTAAAATGTTTGAATTATTTGTTGCAAGTGTGTCTGAATGAACATTTTATGGAATGGCATTTTTAATTTACTACAAGTGTGCTTTGCAATACTGCTTAATGTCTAATATGATTCCTTTTTTTTCAGTTAAGCATTCTTTTGGGGAAAGTTTTTTGGAAGGCAGGAACATAGAAACATTTCAAGATAGGTATGCATATTTAGTATCAGGATTTATCAGTGTTCCAAGCTTAACCTGTAAATAATAGATTCTTGATATAAAAATACTAATAAGGATGTTTTATCAGCTATTAATGTTCATGCATATGACCAAGTGGCTAATCCAATTGGCCTAATAATAGGTCATTAATCAATTGTTACTATGAGTTTTAGAAATTATACTAAACACTATGATTTTATCCCTGCACTTACACTTGTTATGTTACAAACATCTGAGGTAAGACAAACAAGTTGTTATTAATTTTTATTTATTATCATTACTTTTTCAGTTATTTTAGCAAATCACAATTCAAAAAAGATGGTTTCTTTCTTGTTAAACACAAAGACACATACATAGCCACGGCTTTTGCATGGCAAGATAAAGAAATATCAACAGTTGGTAGACTTCACTGGCTTGCAGTTTTACCACAACATAGAGGTAAAGGCATTGCAAAGGCTTTGTGTCTCTGTGTTATCAAGTTTTTCCAGGAACAAGGGAAGACAAGTATGGTAATTAAAACAGAAATTTATCGTGAAAAGGCAATAAAACTTTATGAAAGACTTGGGTTTACAAAAGTTACAGTTTAGTTGTAAAAGGAAGTACTGTTTAGAAAAATTCCTATGCAACTTGGCATTGTAGATACAACTATAACCATGTTTGCAGCAAAGTCAATGACAAACGAGCAATTTACTACATATTTCTCTCAGCAGTTCTGTTATTTCTCACGTTTTTTTATAATACTAGCTTATTAAATGCTAGTTTAAATCTTTTATGTACTAAACTATTTGTAATACAGACTTTGTAAATGCAAGTAGCATCAATGTTCTTTTCATTTTATACTAATTATCAAACAAATCAAGCAAATTATAAAACAAATTATATTAAAAAAATTATATCAAACAAATTATATTATTAAACAAATTATATTAAAACAAATTATATTATTTTGTCAGTCAATATATGGCTATAACTATAATGATTAATTTTATATATAAAAAGCATATGAATAAGCACTCTATAGCTTTACTATTTTGTTATAACATTTTGCCTGCAATGTTAGGGTCAGTGGCATAATAGAGGTTTACAATAGAAAAATAAAGATTCCAAGAATTGCCAAGACCTTAGCATTCATTGATACTCTTGTAGTAGAGGTGTTTTCTGGGAATTTTATTTTGTTAGGCTTTGTTGCAGTCTCGATAATTGCTGATGTTTCTGTGAATTAAGCAAAGTTTTGTTTTAGTAAAAATTATTATTTTCTGTTTTGCTTATTTTTTTCCTTCGTAATTTTCCTTATGGAATAACATTATCTTTACTAAAAATAAATGAATCCTCTGCGTTTACTAGTGATATTTTTAATATCGAGCTTTTCGGCCTCAGCGGCCATTATCAAGGTAGAGTACACGTAAGATTTTAACCAAAGCAAAAAACGGAAAGTGTGCGAGGAAACACAGCAATACAGCGCGAGCTAATTACAATAGATAAAATGTAAAATGAAATGGAATGAAATGAAATGGAGTGAAAAGAAAAGAAATGATAGACTATGACAGTGAAGCAATTAGATATATATGTAACAAAAAACCTAAATGAACTTAAATAATGGTTTGAAGCTCGGTATTAAAAATATCACTAGTAAACACAGAGGATTCATATATTTTTAGTAATTATGCCTGCGTACAAAGAAATTCTAAACATTATCTTTAGTCATTAAATATAAAGAATATTGCCAAATTTTTGATGGACAAGAATCATGACAAAATGAACGGCAGCAAAGGAGACGAGTCAAGTATGTCAAAGCTTTGAGTCATGTTAACTGACTTTATTTTCATTTGCTGATATTTCTCTACACTGTGACTCTGTTAGATAGTGTAAAAAAGTCATAGTCATTAGGAAAGCTTGTAATTCAGTGGAATAAGAAGATTCAGTGTAGGGTATGCTATAATACCTTTTCTGGTAGCTGAAGTACTAATGATGGCCTTGTCTTCAGTGAAAATAGTTTCTGCATTCACAGTAATATAATATATATACTTTGATTGGTATTGATATATATTGTTATGAAAATATAAGGCTATTTAATATTTAGTTATCAGTTCAAACATCTTACCTACATGATACTGTGCTGTTCTGGCTGTGGAAAATTGAAATGGTTTTTCTAAGGGTTAGTATTTTACACCAGTCATTTTTCAATTACTACTTATTCCTCAATTTTTTATTCATTTATTTTTCATTCATTTATATTTTCACCTTTCATCTATTTGTTTCTCATTACTTTTATTACTTTCATTCATTATTACCCATTCCTTGTTTCAATCCATCATTGATAATTTCTTTAATCTTTTTTATCCACACATTTATTTTAGAAAAGAATTTTCTTCATACTTGAGGGTGCACCAGTAGTTGTAATGGTCCTAACAACATCTTTATTACAGAAGTCTTCCTGACAGCATTTRGCRTATGGATARTCTTTGCTGTACTGACAAATGAAGCTGTTTTTWTGTCCTGGCTGTAAACAGGTACGTTGGAGAGTTATYATTCCTTTCTTAGTGAGAMGAGACTGAATGAAGCATGACCCATTTGTTTGGCAGAAGTTTTTGTCCTKTCCACACATGCTGCAGTAGCAAGTCAATGATTTGCGTTCTGTAAAACAGCAACATTTATAAAAAGTTTCTGTTTCTTCGTCATTATTATAAATCTCATTCTATTTCACAGTAAATAATATTATGTATTCAAGTTTTTTATTATTGTGGTATTCTGGACACTGTGATGATAGATATTTTTGTAGTGAAGTTCATTACATGGAAGTATGTGAATTTTATCAGTTCTTTCCATAACGGCTCCTAAACGGACACAGCTGTCATTTTTGCTGGACTTTACAGCTTGATAAGTTTACTAGATCTATTAACATTTCTAGATTGTAAATTTAGAGTGCTTTTACTGAAGGCCTCAAAGTCAAAAGTTGTTCCTAAGTTGACGTTTTGATAGATCACGTGATTCAAATTCATTTTTGACGTCACTTAAGCATTGACGTTTCTTCCCGTCAAAAATATTTTTYGCATTTTTCATTTACGCATGCTCGTTAATGTTTTTGCCAATTATCCCACATGGCTTAGATTTAGCTCACTCTTCGAGGGCATCATCAATGTTGGTGCACTCGATCTGTTCCCAATACACTTTCAACTGTTTTTCTTGACAAATGCGAATGGTGCAGTTTACTTAACCAACGTTAATGTTTACACTTAACACAAATATTGTGCTGTTTTTCCATTAGTGTCATTGAATTCCTTTGAACACAAGGACAACAGTTTAGAGTCAAGTTTGGCTTTGGTAACGCTACTGCACAGGATAGGAAAGTAAGGGTGAGTAAGCACTTTTATTCTTTTCTTTTCTTTTTCTTACTGTCGCTTTCAATTGCTGCAATTGTTGTAAGAGTATTGAAGGTTAAATACCTTTGGATWAAATTCGGATCTTGTGGAACTTTTGAAATGGAATAAATTCTTATCTCTAAAAACGCTTTTTTAACGCGTTTCCGAAGTAATTTTTGTTCAGAAAATATGTTTAAAAACGTACTGCTGATGCTTAAAATATTATTATGTTTCTACTTTTGTTTTAAATTCGTGAAAACACTCAAAACAGCGAAAAAAGTTTCTTAAAGTTTTACTGAAAATGCTAATTTCTACTTTTCCGGCTAYAGTGTCAAAGATTTTTTTCGCAATAGCCTCTATTGATTGTATACTTTTCATATAAATCGATTCTTTGCCCTTAGATTATCTTATGTTTTGATTTCAGCGGTCAGGTACTTTGTATATAATATCAACAATGAAATCTACTTGTTCAATAAACCCTCCGCCTAACACGCAAAACTTAGACCTATACGATTATATCGGCCGAAGGGTTTGGGATTTTAATAAATATATGATTTCTTGAAACATGCACTGGGAAAATGCGGACATTTCTCCGAAAGCTACTGGTAAAACTTGATCCGGATTGCTCAATTCCAAATTATTAAATTTCTTTTCCAAAATGATTGTTTATTATTTTAATTTCATATTCTTTGAATTTCACTATCAAAAGGCTCTAGAAAGTTTGGACAAAAAACTTAACGAAAAAACCTTGATGGTGAGTGATTGACGTGCGAGAAACCATAGCAATCACATCAGTGAATGTTTACTGCCTGTTTCTCTATGGTAACGCTGAATGTCATCATGTTTGCTAACWCACCTCAGACCAGTGCGTTGTTGCTTGCTCTTTTTCTAGTCGATAAAGCGTTAAGCTATGGTCTTTAACTTTTCCAGTTCATCGTATTCTAAATTCCCTTTTTATTGATTGTAAGATTGTTCTATATTTATTATTTTATTTTTTTTTATTTTTTTTTTTATTTTTATTTTTTTTTTGACATTTAGTTCGCGAATGCGTACATCTAAATAATTCAAGTTAATGTACTTTTTATCAAAATATGTTATAGATATACTGTATTTAATTGGTTATTAGTCATAAACTCACCGCCRGAACTATTCGACTCCAGTCTAATTCCTTCAGGCTTTAKGCATTCKACACGACTCCAGTTCCCCTTGAGACGACACAAATCTGAATAAAAACGCTCAAGAYTGYTCTTCGCCAGTTCGATACTACAATCTTGCAAAAACTTCTTGCATTCTTGTKTACATGGTAAAATTGGCATAGATTCGTTGTCMGAGCATTTACGAACATATCTTGAGCACACAATTAACTGAGACAGCTTTGAACAGTTTGAAAACAACTTGTGCTCTCTTTGGATATCTTTGTATAGTGTATCTTGGTAGTGACTWCCATTTTTCGTAGGRTAACGTGCTRTGWGATWGTATCCTGTGTTTTTGCATAGGTTTTGGAGGTTCTCGTTTAGACGTTCGCACTTTGAAAGATTTTGTTCCGCATTGGATAGAATAACGAGAAARCTAAACACAAACAGCTGAAACATTTCGATGTTTTCTCAGTAACCAAGTAAGAGATATCGTCCCAATGACTTCATGAAATATTAGAAAGATTTCAATGAAGAACCAAAAAACATCAATCTATAATTATCCCTCCGTGATTAATTACCCGAGTAAAAATAAGTCGTTAATTGCGRTAATATTTTATTAATTGATGTCATATAGGTGATTGATACTCGTTAATAACTGATTCACATTGGGAGATAAGAAAAACTGTGGACAAAAACAAACGAAAACGTTCKCCATTTTATGCATTTAKAAAYCAAAAGGACCTTTTCCGTTTTCTTGCATTTACTCATTCTTATGYTTGTGCTTGTGTCGGTGACTAAGTCATGCGTTTTATTACATTCCTTTGTGTTTTCTTSTTATGTCACTTAGTGTCAAGCGAMCCTGAWACTSTCCTGAAGTGTCTATAGTATTCACCATGACTACAAAATGAGTTCAAGTTAATTTTACTTGCATGATCTGCCAATAATGTAAAAGGAGYCAAAAGTGAACGATATTTATTTAAGGTCCTCCGGGRGTCTTACCGCTATTAAACGCTTGTCAGAAAATCAAATTAAGTTATAGCACGAAGCTGATGAATTGCGTTGGTGGAATGTTTTGAATAAAGGACGGTAAATATACAAGTAGCACTAATACAAACTGAGAAAACAAAAATTTTTATCGTCAAGGGGGTATAGTTGCTCAAAACCCAGGAAAGCGTCAATCGGGGGTTAATTCCATAGGTTTTAACTGAACACTAGAACTTTGTTCAGTTAATTACTATYATAACTACAATATGTGTCGACGCATTACGATGGCAGTTCTCCCGTAAACATATTGTTATGTTGTCCAATTTCATCATCATCATCACCATCATCTACGTCATTCAAGTAGTCATAATGACAGCCATCTCCTCCTCTTCCTCGTCKCCATGCCTCCAGTAGCCGCGCATGCTAAACACTCTTCTTTTCTTCATGTAACAGTACGTCGCTGAAGCAAGAATACCACACGTCAGAACTATTGCGAATGTTATTRATAACGCAAGAGCGTGTATTTCGGGGTCTTTGCTATTTTCTGTTTTCTTGGTTACTTCCACTATAGTGGACTTTGCTGAAACGAAAAAAAAATATTGATCAAATGAAACAGCGGTTTTTTTGGCATCGCTTTTGATTTACATTGAATTTAATTGATCGATTAAGGCATTTTTAATATATGGAAGTCCTTTTTCATTTGTTTTTCTAGCTTTTAAATCATTTTTTTTATTCATCCATTCATTATAATAATAAGAAATTATTGTACCTTTAAGCCATTTGTGTGACCCAGGCCACTGAGTGACYCTACAGAACCCTATATAATCAGTCTCTCTATCTGCTTCCATCGAGCAATCTTCAAAAATACCAAATTGTTTTGTCAAAACCGTCGGACATTCTCTCCACAAAACCTGGCAGCGTKCCTTACACACGGTGTAGATCGCTGGCTTTGAGTGATTGTCTTGAAAACAAGGCGGAATAAGTACAGTGCAAAGGAGTTCACGAACTAGAGACCTGCAGTATGTACTTGTCGATGAAATGACTGTTTCGTTTAATATAGAGTCAAAGTGCTGGCTTAGATAAAGCTGCTCGATGAACGATTTTGTGGTGTAGTTGAATCCAAAGCCTTGGCAGTGAGAAAGAAATAACTTTGTACAGTTCTTTCGAATGGGAACTGAAAGTGAAATAAAGAGGAAATGATTATTTGAATCTCATTTTTTCTCATTTTTTCGCGTTTTTTTGTCAATTTCGTATTTTTGTTATGCAATGGGCCGATTTTTATTTTTCAACTTATAGCCTTGTAATCGTGACTTTTTTCTCGTTTTATCCTCACTCTCCTGATAGTACTGAAGATCTGACATTCACTGGCCTACAAAKCTCATAACGACAGAAGATCATCCTCGAAAATATCACCAAACACATAAATATACACAGCCAACAGTCTGCCAGGCCAGCTGCGCTTATCTCTATTCGTGAAAATAGTGTACAGTGTCCTGTAGCGATGATAATACTCACTAGAGCGTTGTGGATTCCCATTGAGCCGTCGTGTTCGTTGCGTTGACTTTAACTTTGACTAATTGACGTTCGAGAATWTTTGATTGAATTTCAAGAACTGTTTATAAAATAAACTAATTACGAAAAATTCGGAAAAATTAAGTAAAGCCGAAATACATAAAGCAAGGCCAAGACAGATCTTTTTTTTTCTTTATCAGTGACCGCATATGACAATTTAATAAAAGGCATTCAGTTGTGGGTTTGAATCCGTTATATAATGAAAATACGGCGAGATAAATGCACTAGAGCAGGTTAATGAGCCTTCGTAGTATTCCCATATCGTGGTGTATTCGTAGCGAGATATTTCCTTATCGCGTGGAGTATTTGTAGCGTTTTTCAGTCTAAACTCTGTTGACAAAGAAACACCTTTGTGCAGAGTTTTTTGTTAACATATCGATTTCATATTGGTTTAGAAGYGTTTTCTCTCTTTCTTCCCTTCTCTCTTTCTTCGAGACTTTCAACTMAAAAACAATGCGAAAATACATTAATCGAGCTTACCTCTCTTATGCAGTGGTTTAAAACCTCTCGGCTCAATACACTTCGTATCTTTGGAATCCTGWTCAGGTAAAATCCTACACAAGCCTTTCAGCCATTCCACGTCTCCATTATGCACTCCATGGACATCGCATCCACGAACTACGTCTTCACATACGCGTTTACACGGTAGAACAGGATTATAGACTTTTTCAATGCATTTTGGAACAGTCACTGAGCAGATTAAGAAGCCAGTGTAAGGCGAACAACCTTGAAGTTCAGTAATAGTTTGACTTGTGAGAGATGAGATTATAACTTTCTTGCTTGGATTGGACGTATATGAGGTGAACGCAATCGTTGTGTTGATTCCAGCATTCACACATGCCGCAAACAAACCAGGGTGAAGGTTTTCGCATAGTTTACCTTGAGTAAGTGACACCAAAGAGAAGAGTACCACTTGAATGATGTGACTCTCCATGTTGTCATCGYGGATCTTCTTCTAATGCAGCCAACGTTGTTTTATTGTGAGCGCAACTCTGATTAATGATTAAGGAGTGACTTCGGTTGGACGACGTCTAATTGTATAAAAACATACCCAACTCTTACTTCCTGCTGAAGGCTTTTCCAATATTYATGAGCCTGGAGTTAATTTAGAAATCAAAAACATATATAGGGGTTTGTGCGGTCTTCTTATTGGTTGTTAATAACAAAATACTCGCTGTTTGACTTGACTTTAAGCTTTTCTAATAAGCTTGGGAGCTTCTCTTGGAGGCTTCTCTGCTATAAATCACGAAGATGTGCTGTCATTCAAAATAACTTGTTAATGTATATTCATATCGACGATTTGTAATGCCGAGGGAAATGACGGCCATGTTTAAGGCAATGCTATTTGTATTGTTCTTGATTTAATCGAAGACGAATAGGAATAGAAATACAAAAAATACACACAACAAAGTGTTCAAATGACACTTAATTATTGTTATCAAACAATATTAAGATTACAGCCAAAACCCACAATTAAAAAGCTATAATTTGTCATTCTTTCATATTTTTTTTCTTATTTGGGTGTGTGCTTTTAAGTAGAATTTTGTAATAATAAGTATTTTTAAGAAATCATTTCTCTATCTGTCAGAAGGTTAGCGAGTCTCGAGTTTGTGAATGTATCTTTTTTTCAAACATGACAATTAAGAAGACATACCTTGCACAAATAATAAGAACTTCCTAGATTAAAAGTCAATCAAAGCAGCACAAAATAATARAACTAATAATCCTATAAATAGAACAAATCCAATGTAAATCAGCGCTAGAGATCACAATTTACTGGGATAGTTTTTTTTATTCTTATTTTTATTCTTATGAGCCTTTTATGAAGCAGACTCGGTGTCTAACTCAGACAAGAACGTAGTCTCCTTTTTTACTAAAAACAGGAACCGACCTGGCTGAAAATCTACCGTACAGGAGATTAAAATGCCGAAAAAGCCGGAGGAAAGGAATGTAAAATTGAAGGGAAAATAAAATGGAAAGAAAAAGACGAGTTGGAAAAAGAAGCTGAAAACGGACGACGAACAGGAAAAAAATAAAATGCGAAATGAATTATAACAAAATAGTAAACATTAAGATGTATATTTACCATAGCTACGATGAGCTGAAAAAAGTTTATTATAGTCATCCGTTATTGTAAGAGAAAAACTTCGTCACACATGCTAATCCTAATACTAGGGATTTTACCTTTATTTAAGGGTGGYCTAGAATGAAATCATTTTTCCCGGTTATTGCTTTTCCATTTGATTCCCATTGGCTCTCTTTTTAAGACAAGGGCTTTTTGTTTTAGCCCGAGGTTTTATTGTTTCAACTGGGCGAAATCGATACGTGTTAAAAGTCAATTTAGCAGGGTCATCTAATCTTGTCTACACTAGAACTTTGCATCAGGATTTTACTCGTTGCCTCACGAAGTACTATCGAAAGTTGTATCTTTGAGTATAGAACGGTAACCTGTTGCATTTGTGCAATATGTTCACCTTCCTTGTGTTTATTGCGCTGGTAGTTGAAGGATCATCCGCAACTTTTGATCAAGCAGAAGAGAACAGAACTCTTGCTTTCTTGGACTATTACAACCGAGTAGTGGTTCAGGGACGATACAAATCGAACGAGGCCTCGTGGAACTATGCAACTAACCTCACAGAGACCAACAAGAAAATCAAAACTAAAATCAACGTACAGTTTTCGCTGTTCATGCAGAAAGCGCGTTTAAATGCCTCGGAATTTGATGTAAATAAACTTTCTGAAGATACTAAGAGACAAATCGAAATGCTGAAATCATCTTCAAGCCCGAAAGCCGAAGACGATATCACCAAACTCAATGAGTTGGGAAGTAAGATGTCAAGTATTTATAGTGGAGGCACGGTTATAGATACAGATGGTAAAACCAAGCTGCAACTAGATCCTGAACTAACRCAAATCTTGAGAACAAACAGGAATTATGATCGATTACTGTTTGCATGGAAAGGATGGCGAGATGCTACCGGTCCCAAGCTTCGTCCCATCTACAAGAAGTTTGTTGAACTTTCCAATAAAGGAGCCAAAGAGAATGGTTGGGACGACAAAGGAGCATATTGGCGGTCGTTGTACGAAGTGGCCGACTTGGAAAGTGATGTGGAAGCCTTATACAATGATCTGAAACCTTTGTATCAAGAATTACACGCTTATGTTCGTTTCAAGCTTACTAAGAAATACCCAGGAAAGGTCGGAAAAAGTGATCCCATCCCTGCACATCTATTTGGTAACATGTGGGCCCAGAGTTGGATCAATATTTATGACTTAATAGAGCCCTACCAAGGTCAACCAAGCCTTGATGTTACACAAAACCTTGTAAAGCAAAACTACAACCCAAAGAAGATGGTCGAGCTTGCTAACTCTTTCTTCGTCTCCATTGGAC